ACTCCCATCCAGCAACCTGCAGGTGAGTTTCTTCTGTTCCCCCTCCATTAATTAGGAGGTTTTTCTAATTCTCTTTTCTGGAGCCCCCAATTTTTTTTCTAAGATTTTTGGCAGCTTTTCCTTAAAGGGGATCCCAAAATGCGGTGCAATAAAACACAAAAACACCACACAACACTAAAACCTCACCCAGTATGTCTCTCTTTTTTTCTTTTTAGCAACTCCCATCCAATAACCTGCAGGCGAGTTCTTTCTATTCCCCCGCCATTAATGGGTTTTTCTAATTCTTTCTTTTCCCAAAAAATATCTCTTAAGTAATTGCAGTAGCCTTGAAAGAGCCCTGCAAAGCCTCCTTGCTATGGGTGAGGCTCCATTATTTTCTTCAGCAAAAGCTTCCAAGATTTTCTGGATTCTCCAAATATTTTTCCAAGATTTTTGGCAGCTTATCCTTACAGGAACCTCAAAATGTAATACAATAACACACAAAAGCAGCACACAAAACTAAAACTTCACCCAGGATATTTCCCCATTTTGTGAAATTGCAAAAGAAAAGGAAAGAAGAGCCAGTTTGGTCTTGTGGTGAAGGCACCAGGCTAGAAAGCAGGAGACGGTGAGTTCTAGTCCTGCCTTAGGCATAAAAGCTGGCTGGGTGACTTTGGGCCAATTGCTCTTTCTTACCCAACTCACCTCACAAGGTTGTTGTTGTGGAGAAAATAGGAAAAGGAAGGAGTATTAGGTATGTTTGCCACCTTGCGTTATTTATAAAAAAATAATAAAGGCAGGATAAAATGTCAAAAAAAAAGGAGTGAGGCCATTCAGGTCATTGGGGGAAGGAGAGGGAGCCCCCCAAGTTTGTGGGCTGCCCTTCCTGACCCCCCCCCCCGTTAGACATTTCATACAAGCTCTGGCAAAGTGACCCCAGGCTCCCTCCTTTCCTGCCCCCACCATCCGAGCACCATCTTCTCGGTTAAGATTGTCTGCAGGGAGGGAGGCCTCCTCTCTTGATTAACCTCCAATTAAATCAGTCAGCCCAAATTAGGAATAATTCCATCTTGGCAACGTCACCCTGGAGCCTCCCTTTTCAGCCCCTCTGCTGAACTCGAACCCCGTTCAAGTCCCGGGAGCTGAGATGGGGGAGGAATCCCTGGCCCTTCGCAGCCTTCACCACCCCAATCTCTTCAGCTCAGCACAGACCCCCCATTCATAGCAATGGCTGCAACCCACCCACCTGACAGCCACTTAACCTCAAATCCCTCTCACGTTCAGCTCAGGCCGCTGGATCCAGACAGATCCCAGACACTCTGCCTCTACCAGCCAGGCTGGGATCCCCCATTCCTGAGAAGTGATCTCAGGAATCAACTGCTGTCTGCCCAGCAGAGCCCCAACCTCCATTTCCCTTCTTTGACATGCTCTGAATTAAAATCTGGTGGCAACATCTGGAGGACACTGGGGCAAAATGCACGCCTGGGGGATCCACGTGGACAGCGGACCCAGGTCCCGTTCTCAGATGCAACAGCACAGGAAGTCGAAGCCTTCAACGAAGCCTTCAGTGAAGAACGGCGGAAGGGGAGTCGGGGAGAGTTTGCTCCTGATGCCAAACTGTTGGGCTGAATGATGTGGTTGGCATCCTTTGCGGTCGGCCGTCTGCAGTTTACACATTTGCACAATGACACGGCGAGGCATGTGATTTCTGGGTAGCTTCTACTCGATGCCCCTTGGCAGAGGCCGATCTCCCCTGCGGGTCCTGCCCTGAGCAGGGGTGCGCCCGGATGACCTCTGAAGTCCCCCGCACCCTCCCCTTCAGAGGCCCGCGTGGTGCCCGCTGGTTCCGCTAAGGGGCGCGCTCCTCGCCGCCGAGCGCCACTGCGCATGCTCCGCCCCGTCCGCCTGACTCAGGAGGGCCGACCGTGAGTTGCGCCCTGGGAATCTTTGGGGGTCGGGCAGGAGGGGTCCCGCGACCCAGAGCCTCCCCGGCGGGGGGAACGACTCCCTTCCACCCGTGGGCAGAGCCTCCCCAGCCGGTTTTTGCAGAGGGAGGGGGAGAGCGCGGCTCCCCTGCAAACAGCCCCGGAGCCGGTGGCGAGAGGGGGGCCCCGGATTCCCCGAGAGGGTCTGCTGGACTCCGAATCCCGAGGCTTGGGGGCAGGGGGAGACCCCCCCATTCCTGCTCCTGGCCTGCGCATGCAAGAGGTCCAGCACTGGGGCAGGGAAGGAGTTGCGGGGGGAGAGTAGGAAGCCTAAAGGAACAATGCGCTTGAATTGTGCATAAACGCTTCCCAGAAACAAGAATCTGGGAAAGGGGATTTCCTGCCTGGCGCTCCTCCACCCTCTGCAAAGGGTCCCATTTCAAGGTCTATTTTGGGGAGGGGGTTGAAAGGTCCAATTCTGTGCCTCAAATGTATTTGATGGCAGTGCTGGAAGGACCCCCA